CGTCTCGGGTTTAAATTCGAAGTTACATGAGATTTTTCCAGTTAAATCACGATTTTTTAAATATAAATGTCACATATATAAAAACAAAAAAATAGGATAAGGAAATAAAAGTGAGTGAAATGTCTCATTTTAATGTGTATTTCCTTAGTTTTCAATTAAAATGTTATAAAACTAAACTGAAATACAAGAAATTAAATAACTGGAACAAAATCATCGTCGAATTATTATTAAAAGTGACTTATCTCGACTTTTTTAAGGCGAATTTTGACTACTTTCCCACGGAAAAGCTACCATCATATTCAGCTTAAATTAAACTACCATCTTAACTACTATCGTATTCAACTTAAAAAACGCAAGATTACATTATAACTTAAAAATGTGATAAAAAATTAGGAGATCCACCTTCAATGATCTTGATATTGATATATATTATAGTCATATTTACTTTTCTGAGTAACATTCAAAAAGTTTTAGACGTCGCTCATTGTTAAAAAGTTATTAAAGAAACTTTTTTACAAATGAAACGTAATTTTTGCAGACACGGTATACATGAAAATATGGTAAACAGTATACGTATATGTGCGAGGGAGGGACGAAGCCGCCTGCACTCTCTCTCCTCTCCCAAAAAAACAGCCTAATCTAATCCTAACTAAATAACTCACGTTACACATTTTAGGTCAAAATCCTATTTTATCCATTGCCCTTTAATCCAACTCGATTTTTTACCTGTGTGACCGTTTGGGCAATAATTACATTCTTCATTACAGCAAATGTCCAAAATACATCTTAGAGACGTCCCAGAGATATCATATATCTTTGGAACGTCTTTGGAATGTATTTTGAACATTTGTGCTGTATGGGCTATATCGTTAAACTTGTCTCAATAAGGGTTCTTTAAAAACATGCCAATGGGGTAATAGGTTATACAGTCATAAGCAGTTTCTAGTTTCATTATCGGCCAAATTTTGACCCCTTTGGGGTCAATGTTTCCATGTCGTGCAGCAATGTTACATATCGTTGAACTTGTCTGGGCAAGTGAGCGCTTTTATGAAGTATGTATATCTTCGAAAAGTACACGGAAAAAACAATATGGTTGATCCATACAGAAATCTGGTTGTGCCAACCAGATTCAATAGTAAAATACGGAACAACTATTTATATGGTTGCTGTAACCAAAGAGCAATGACTGAGTTACTTATGTTGCAGCAGTGATAATACATGGTTAATACAAACGCGGCTCATTACGCGGCAATTACAAATGTATATTTATACACTCAGAACCAGTTTTCACATGTATACATCTCTAGCTGTGCGCGTAGTGAATTGCTTTTCTAACATCGCTGCTTTGCAATATAGCATTGATTAATGCAACTATATCGATATTTAGCTTGTCTATGCAAAATGATCCCCTTACTAATTTCTGGTTGCCACAACCAAATGACGCGCAACTTCATTGATGTAGTTGACACACCAAAGTAAGTAAATCAAATCAACCATACAAAACCATACAACCATAATCATACAAAGATATGTAGAATGATGCAACTATTTGCTTACAACTAAATATTTTTTGTTAGGTGCACCACATCTCTTTTCCGTGTAGACATAACGTTTCGTGAGTGTCCCTGTTGGTAAAAAGATAAAGCGGTTGTTCCGCGGTGCCAAAGTGATTCCGTTCGGCGGAAACGCGCAGGAAGCCGGGGAACAACTTGCTCGCTGGTCCTCCGAGCTCATAACGATCGCGACAATCCGCGGTGGTTGACGCAAAAGTGAAAACGGTCCTGGATTCACGGGGCCGTAACCGGGCGGTGCCACAATTCGCCAGAATACGCAGGTACGCGCGACGAGCTTGCGAAATAATACACGTCCGCCCGTTTCTCACGTTCTTTCCTCTCCTTCCTCTACTCTCTCCCCTTTCCTCTATCCTTCTATCTCGTTTCCTTGTCGACCGCGACACCCCGGGTGTGTCATTTCGCAAGGTGGACAGCGCGCCCGGCGAGTCAGTTGTCGAACGGGTATCGATCACGTGCGAATTGCCGATGTGAGAAACGTTCGGCGAGTTCAGCGGCGTTCAATGTCCCCGGGGTGTAGTGCAGTCGCGGCCTCGGTTTCACGCGACGCTTCTTGAATCGTATCTCGCCGCGCGTATCGCTCGTAACTCGTTGCAAACGCATCGATCAAATTAAGTCAACGCGCGCGCGCGCGCGCGCACGGCTAATTAGATCGTCGCCGCGGTAATAACCGCGGGGACGGCCGGTGGAATCCTCGCAGGCGGTGTAATTCGCGTATCCGCGCGGTATCCTGTCGTTAAATTGCGTTAAAGCAGGCGGCCATCGTTGCGCGGTACGGAGCGCTGTACGTTTGTTCGATAATTCACGAAAAGTCGTCGCATGACCGCCTCTATACCGTCGTGCTTATTGCCTCACTCATTTATGATCGTACGGCCCCGCACGTTAATTACCGCGTCATAATTACAGTTCCGCCTTCTCGTTTCTGTCTCCTGCGAGTCGTCTGCTCATGCAACGTGCTCGCTTACGTTTCTCCGTATCACAATTCCCTCAAACACAACTACCTGCGTCGAAGCGAAACTTCCTCTCGCGAATTCTGCTTCTACGAGTCTCTCGAGTTCACTTGATCATTCATCATTAAATATTCATCAGTCCCTTTAAGAAGTAGACGTGTGTTGTTACGTCCAAAATATATAATCACATCCTTAGCGGAATTCTCTCATATTGGGTCGCGTGATAAATAATTTCGGAGATAAAACAAAATGATTGTATTTTTATGACGTTATATGACTTAATGAAGCAATTCACGCGTCTCTTGATCCATTATCTTCTGCCATCCTTTACCTATTATTATTTCATGGTATTATAATGATATAAAGATATTGCAAAATATCTGAAAAATAAAAAATTACACTTATTACCCGCAACGCAATACATGATCTCAAGAGAATTCTTCTAAAATCAAAAGGAATAGAAAATATTCTATGCGCAATATTGTTCTTGTTCATTAGAAATGAATATTTTTTCGGTAAAAATTTTCGCATAGAATTTGGGATTACAGGAAATAGCATCTTCCAACTACACGTTAAAAATATTATTCTACGGCTAAGAAAAGTGATTACTTAGTTTATTTTCCTCCTTTTAAGTAATAGTTATTATCTTTGACAAAGAAAAACTTTCCTTGACAATAATCTTAAAATATATACATAATAAATGTGAGAAAAATTGTCGTGTACTCAAAAAAGGAATTTATTTTCTTTACAAGAATATTATGAAATTTTTTCGAAGAAAAGTTTGACTTTGTGTACACTGAAAAAAATACATGAAAATTTATTTATGAGATATAAAATTTATTTTTGTGAATAGACTTTATATCCCACAAATGAATTTTCAAGTATTTTTTCTCAATGTAGTAAATAAGCCGAATTTTTGTTTTAATTTAATATTTGTGATTAAAATAATAATAAACTTGCTAGTTTTGGTAACTCAGAATGTATTTTGAATAAATTAGAAACTTATGATAAACTTATGATAAATTTGCGGATATATAAACTTATGAAAGACAAGTAACATTTAATTTAGTATAATATAAGTATTATAATTTAGTATAATACACTTTTCTATGCGTAGAATTCTTCTTATTGAATGTTGGAATATTTTGCTTTTGATTTCAAAAGAATCTTCTTGAGATCGTACATATAAAGGGATCTCACTAAGAATGAGATTATATCTTTTTGGATGTAAAATTGTTAAAATTGTTGGATAAAGCGTACAAAATGATTAAATATAGCATTAAAAAAGAATATTTCCTTCCATAAAATTTTTATCTTCTTAATTCATAAGAACTTTGCAGTAAGAATTCATAAGATTTTGCAGTACATAATTGTACAATAAACTTTGAAACACATACACTGAGAAAAAATTGTTGGAAATTTATTTGTGAGATATTAACTTTATTTGTATGAAATAATGTTTATTTCTGATATAAATTTTTATACCCCACACACATACACACACACAAATAAATTTTCTCAGTATATCTAATTGAAATGTTACAAAAAATATGAAAAATGGATTCTGTAGTCACCTTCGTTTTTTTCTTCGCATTTCAATAAACGTGGACGCAATTGTTTGTCGCAATCATTAATTGGATTCACATTAGCTCATTGACCGTAGAATTTTAAATATGGATAAAATTGACTTAGCTTATTGTCAACGTTACCGTTCTTGAAAATTTGTATGTGTTCTATTTCTTTGTCATTATAATTTTCTTCAATTCCAATATTCACATTCTTCGACGTCTTCTAAAATAATTTAAAAAAAGAGAAGCATTGATTCTGACTATTTTTAAGTTATGAGCAAATGAAAATGTGCTGAATAAAATTTATCCATGTTTACAGTTCACGTAACTTTTTTTATATTTGTAGTTCTAAAGTTACCATGTTCGTAAATCAACGGAGTCGATCGAATTTATTGCGACCGTTATAAATCATTCTCGCGCGCACAATTACACAACGATCGCTCATTCGCCCGACCTAGACACCGACACTGCGTACGGAAAAAGTGTAGCAAGTGCGCTTTTACCCGTTACGATCTATCGGCCAGCGAACACGCAGAGAAAGGTACAAGCGTGTCGGATTGATCGCCATGACAGCGCATGAGGCTAGTGCAACGGGCGAACTTTCCTTGGCCGTTTCGGTTTCAGGTGGCTGGCTCGTTGTATCAGAACCGACGCGGGTTTTCTGGGTCGGGCCTCTCACTGGCCTACACTGTGATCGCGGGCAAAAGTGACCATTGAAGTCGTCGGGGCCGGTGTGCTCTCTTGGGTGAATGGACAGCCGATCCCGGATCGAATGTATCCTCGCCCTCGACAAGGATATAGGAGATCGCGCATTAAGTTACGCTCGCTCCTCTCTTTCCCGATTATCGCGGACTCTTAAGGTCTTGCGCGAGTACACAAATTGCGCGTGCACGTTCGTGCGAGGGTCTTACCTCCAATTGCACTCCGAACAGATCCCTTGATCTTCCGGGTCTGGGAGCGTTTAATTCCTGCATCTCGGCCTCTCGCTCTACCAGTCCCATGTCTTCGTGATACCTGCGCATGCAAGAAAATCCTCAATCCGATCATGTCTCGACAGATTTATTAGATTAATTATTCACTAGATATTCTATTAGACACATTTATTTTATCGCTTTTTTATTGGTTCAGGGGTTTATTAGATGGACAAATAGAGAGAAAGATATCGGAGAAATAAAGAGATGTTTATCTAGGGTGAGGTACTATATAATAATATATTTACTCAATATACTTAAATCTAACCTCTTTTTTTTTAAATAAAATAAACAATTCATAGAAGCTTCCATAAAAAACTTGAAGCGTATATTTTCATAAAACAACTTGAAACGTATTTTGAAACGTATATTTTCTTATTTAGTAAATACTAATAACATATTTGCTCAAATCTATAAATTCTTTTTTTTTAATAGAATAGATAAGTGCCATTATAAAAAACTGGGATTTTAAAGTATACATTTTCTTATTTAATAAATATTTTTTTATTAATAGAAATTCATATATTTGTTAATATACACACAATATATGTTTTTGTATTTTTTTTAGATATTTTTTCTCTCAGTGTAAATGCTTTTATTTTTTCCTTAGAGTATCTTACTATTAAAATTATAAACAGTTCAAGTTAAATTATTATATTTTAATTATTGAAACAGTTTAAGTTATGAAGGTACAGGGAAAATAGAGAAAAAATTCTACATGCCAAGTCTGAACGTTATCCTATAAAATATTACGAAGATGCTAAATACCAATATAAAATAATAAATAAAAATGAAATAAATTGAAAACTCTCGATAAAGGTGATAAAAAATTTAAGATAAATCGAGTTAAATTAAATTAAGATAAATGAAATTAAATCGAACAATTACTTCGTTAAATAGCTAATTAATAAATTAACGTTGACCATAACTAATAAAGAAGCACGTTGGTCATATATAATAAAGAAGCACGTTATTTTACAGAACAATTTCCGTTTCAGCAAACTCCGCCGCGAACCAAAATAAAATTGACGGTGAACGAGTGTAAGGCGGATGAAATAAAAAAAAGACGTCGTTTGAATATGCGTTAGGAGAATTGCCTGTCGCGCATAATATTAAAAGTATATTTGTAGATCCGCGTCTATTCATTAGCAACGCTTTTTGCCTCGGTCCAAATAATGGTATAATATATGAATTATTAATCACAATGTGCTAGCGGCAATGTGCGCACAAAGCGCGTTACAGTGACTGAGTTTAACAGATATGCCGTTCCCTTTCCATGATATATCAAAGCCGTTTCTCGTTTCTTCTAGTCGCGAAACGGGGAGCATCGTAAAGCAGCGCGGACGAGGCGAAACTGAATCGGGAGTTTTATTGTTACACATGTACGCACGCACGCAACACACATCATCCACACACATACACCGAGAAAAGAATGCAAGCGCGCGCGGGAGAAACAAGGCGAGTTTTGATAAACGAAACGCCCCGCGGCGTGGTATAAATCATTGAACGTGAAGAAAAACACTAGTGACGGGTCCAAATGCGATTAAGCGTCTGCGAGGCACCGAGTGTCGCCACGACAAATCTGGTTTTCTTGCGGCGGCGCACTTAAGATAATTGAAATAAAACGTCGATATGGATAGAAGACAGTCATCGCGTTTCCAATTTGCGTCGCGACAGAAGGCCGACAGCGCGAAAAACTTCTTGCTCGCGGAGATACGTGCGTTTCAGACGAGCCAGGGAGACTGGTCGTAGTGAGACGACGCGATACAGCTTGAAATTGCAGCAGGAATTAATTACAATGTATCGAGGAATTATTGACCGACGCGCGACGATTAATGCGAGAGCGCCGTCGACAGCTCGCAGTAACGTTTGAGGGAGCATCGCTATTAATTATCAAACGCTTCAATTAGACATAATGCACGGCTCACCTGTGATAATCTGTCTTCGGGTATCGATTTCTCGACATGATTCGCGCGTTCAACACGTTAAGCGCGCGCAAGCACGTCTGCTCTCACTCAACACATACATTATAACATTATTCGACAATACACAGAACAATATTTTATAATTTTTTATATAAGAAATTTTAAAAAATTTGTTATGCAATACAATAAATTTTTTTATACATTACATCTCTTTATACAATAAGGAATCATTAAATATCGCGCGTTAACCTTTTAAAAATAAGATAAAATTACGGAAACAGAACAAGATAGAGTCATAGATGACTCGAATATATTTTGAGTTCATAAGTTTCCTTTCTGCGCATTAAAATTTGTATCAGGGCAAATGAAACAACAATTTCACCAGAAAATATTTTTTATATACTCGATGAAAGCACTTTTTATGCAATAAAAAAATCTGTTTCTATTGCCCTCATTCTGACTGAATGTTAGTGCTCTTGTATGAGCGAAATGCCGCGCCTGTTATTAATTAAAATTTTAAATAAAAATATAACTATTACTGCATTAAAATACAACTTCATAAAAACAATTAGATGTATTAAGACAATCTATCAGAGTAAAGCATAAATTTGGTAACAGCACAAGTTGCATTAACCTTATATATTTATTCTCGCTATGAGCGCACGCTAACACTTTCAGAGTCTGTCAATAAAAGTTGTACTAACGAAATTAAGAAAACGACTATACATATATAATCCAAAAGGTCGCAAATAAAAAGTCAGAAAGTTTTAAGCCAACTGTTAAGCCATATAATTTTATATGGCTTTATATAATTAGAAAGTAAAATTTCAACTTACAATTTCAAATTACTATTCACGTATCCTAATACAAATTTTAATATACAGAAGAGAACAAACGAATTCAAAAAGTATTGGGGTCACATACGACCCCACCTTGTTTTGCTCATATCCCTGTGGTTTCAGCTTGTCCTTTAAAGGTTCAGTCAGTCGCTGTAGCGGCCGGTCGGCTCACGTTCAGACTCAATTAGCTTGTATTTAGCTCCGCAAACTTTTATTCCCCCGCCCACGTGTCTCCGCGCGCACGAGGACCAGACAGGGAGAAAGGTTACGCGCCGCCTTTCGTCTCGCGTGTGGCACTTTCGCGTAAACGCTGTTACCTCGTTGGCATTTAAAACAATTACGCGACGCGCGCGGTCATTACCGCGGCGCCGGGAATACCGCGACGCCGGTCGCCATCAAAAGCGTGCGAAATCACGACGGCATTGTCCCGCGATCTGACACCGGAGGGAACAATAAAGTCGAGAGCGAGGCGCGACTCGCGAGAGAAGATCAGACCGGGTCGGGTATGATACGCGTTAAACTTCCCGCGGGTGTGAATCATCCGGCGCGAGAAGCAGCCTTCAAGACGATTGCGTGACAGGGCGCTCAAATCGCGCCTAAGTCGCGCAATTTCGCGAACCGCGGGAATTCTCATCGCCTTCTAATCCCGCTGAGAGAGGCATCAAGGAGATCAACTCTTCTAATCAGTCTGTCGATCTTAACGAATCGGAGAGTAAGCTGGTATATTTTGTCATTGGATCAAAGAACAATGTCGAAAAAGACAATTTTTTGCCTAGCGAGACAAACGTGAAAACATTATCATTCTTTACTAATTTTGACCAGCTAAATGCAATGGTGCTATTAGAATTAATTGCTCGGGAACATCTTCCATTTTGAGATTAAAGTTGTATTTCTCCAAATAATTTCCTGTATCGTTACAAATATTATCTATCGATATTGTGAAAGAAAATTGCTATCTGCAAATACACAAATCACAAACAACAAATGCAAATGATTTTCAGTATCAATTAGATGACTTCCGATATCTAAAATGGCGGATTTAATATGGCGTCTTGATAATCTCTAAACCGCTCTCAGCTGAACCCAGAGACAACGATCGTGAACGTGGCGGTTTTTTATCTCCTTTTTGTTTTTATTTTTTTTTTTATTTTTATATATTTTTTATTTTATGTGTTTTAAGAAGTCGCTATATTAGATGTCTCATTAAACAAAAAAACTATAAATTTATTTTTTTTCATCAACTTAATTAGCTTCGAATACCTAATAAAATGTAATATAGATTAAACTTTATTATTTACCTTTTTTTTTTCCTAAAAAAATCGATAACTTTTCGCTCAGATAAACGCCATATTGGACCGGCTATTTTAGATATCGGAAGTCATCTAATTGATACTGAAAATCCTGTTGTTTATGGTTTGTGTAGATAACAATTTCCTTCCATAATATCGATAGATAATATTTGTAACAATATAGAGGATTATCTGGAGAAATACAACTTTAACCTCAAAATAGAAGATGTTTCCGGACAATTCTAATAGCATTTTCTATTGCATTTAGCTGAAAATTAATAAAAAATGACATTTTCACGTTTTGTCTCGATAGGCAAGAAACTGTCTTTTTTCGACATTGTTCTTCGATCACGAAAGTCTATCTAGGAGTTCTGTGTGGAGAATCGAAAATCGGGATGTCCCACGAGATTCGAGACGACTGGTCACCTCAACGAGCCCGACGCGTCGGCAGGATGCAGCGCAACAGCGAATGCGCGTCTGGGTATGCATTCTCCGCGAACAATGGGTGCGATACGCGCGCGCGTACGCCCTTGTACCGTTATCTCGCTCGTCGCGAAATTATCCGCTAATTATTTGCAATTAATCGTAAAGCCGTGGCGCGGGAAGAGGCTCGGGGATGCTCCTCCTCGGCGGGTTCATCTCGCGCGCACGGCGCCTCATCGCGCACGGTAGTCCATCGTCTATCGCGTTACTACATCGGTCGTTATGTGTCGTAACGAGCGTCGTTATGAGCGAGCGAGCGAACGGACGAACGTAATTGCTTCGCCGCGTAATTCGTAATTGCATTATCATTACTCTCTTTCTTTTTGTTGGCTCGCTTTAATGCGTCGCGCAATTAGGCGCATAATTAATCGTTAGCGACTGCCGCTACGGTCCCTCAGCAGCCCCCACGGTGTCCCCCGCGGCCCCCCTTCCCCTGCGCCTTCTTATCCTGATCCTGGCACATCCGAGCGCGTTTCACCTCGAGTCGGCGCGTCGCGCAGCGATTGT